GGCATCATTACTATGCCCATTCCCATTTTTCATAAGAGAAAGCAGAAGCTGACAGAGAAAATGTATTCCCACAAGGGTGTAGCCCTGTGGGGCTTCATTGGAACCAGGCCTTCCCAGCTGCGAGCCCCATGCTTACCTACTACCTTCCATGACTTCCCATCCTACACAGCCCGACTTATCTGCACCTCAGTTTTCTATTCTCTGAGTATTCAAAACTATATTTATAGAGAGCAAGGTGTTTGCTTTTTGTTGGGTTTGTCTGTTTGCTTGCTTACTTAGCTGTGTATGTGTTTCTGAGTGTACTTTCAGGTTTTGGAAATCAGGTATATCAAAACATTTGTTGAGTCAACAGCTAGAGTGAATGTGATATCTGTTGTCTTCCACTGTCTGCTGCTAGTTCAGAATTACTTACATCTTTTGTCTCTGCTGCATGTTTAAGTCACTATCCAGACTGCTGATAATTCCCAGGTCAGTGTGCCCCATAAGGAAAAAGGGCTACAGAAACAGTGAGGTTCCACTGGAGTATGTAGACCTGGGGTTTTCTAGCTGGCTCTAGAGCTGCACTACTGTTAGGGCTAAGGGTCTCACCTGTGAAACATCTGGACGGCGTGGGCACTACCCAACAGCTGGCGCTGTTCCTCTGCGAGCCTCTGCAGCGAGCCCCAGCGGGAATTCAACTCCTAAAGAGGCAGACATAACAGACTTCAGCTGGAATGTGAATGCAACTAGCTCACTGTGTCTGGAGGCTAGAGCATTTATGTCAAGGCTGCGTTCACTTTATTTCCTTCAGAATTATGTCTATTTCTTTCTAGTGTCCCTTGAGTCAGGGCCTTATTTATGCTAGCACAGCTAAGAAGGGTATCAATTTCCTTGCAAATTGATGTTCCAGGACAGAACTGACCACTCTGGAGCAGCAATCCATGCTTGCAGCCACAGAAACTACTTTACAGCCTCCAAAAAGTGGGTGAAAAGTGTTGCCTTGGTGGTTAGATATTATTTTGTTTCTCTAGGATGATAATGCAGCTCTGCATCTGAATTGAGTAATCCAGTTGCCTCTAAGAGTCCTAGTTTGTGTGTGGACAGTTAGTGGATGCTCCTGTGAAAATTCCTTTCCCTTTGTACCCCATGACAACATCACAGAAAGTGGCAGAGAACTAGACACCCGAGTTTAGAAAATAACCCCAGAGACTGGACACACATCCATCAGTGTTCATTGATGGATAGATCTTTTACGAGACCACAGAGCTGAAACTGTATCAGGCCTAGAACATTCCTCCCCAACTCTACTGACATCTCCTTTCATCAATAAATTGGAATCTGTCTCCTCTGCTACATTTTCTTGATGAACTCCTCCCCCCAATAACAGTTCCTTTTGCTGCATTTCCTTTGTTTTCACGTATTTGTCATTTTCCTGTCTGTGATGGAGAAAGGTGAGCATGTGCTATAAGTTAAGAATTTCAGATCCGTTCAAATGTACACACAGCTGGATGATTTGAACTACCGCTTTTGACCTTTCTGGTAGCTACAATCAGCTCTATACAAACATTACCTCCTGCATTTTCTAGCTGATCTGAGAATGTGAAGTTGAGGATATAAGTAAAGTGGTGAGGGAAAATGAAAGGGGCTCAGTTACCTGCTGGATCTGAGTTCCTTCTGGTGTTAGAAGTCCTTCAAATAGAAGATCATCAGCTACTTTGTTGATATCCCTCAATCGAGGCTCATTGGTCTTCAAATCCTGGGTGGGAAAATTTGTCCAAGCTTTTGTCGTGCTTCCTGCTCACCTTTGTCCCACTTGGCTATATATTAAAACATATTGCTAACCTCATTTGCAATACATGCCGGCTTTCGTCCTCTAATCTACCACTAAGAAAATCACCTTTAAACTCCCCGATGCCCAATGACTATCAAAAACTGCCCAGAGCTGTTATTTGTCTGGTCTATGGCACATGCCTATTTTGTTAGATTTCTTAGACAATTCTCCCTGGCTTAGATTGCACCATCAAAGGGATCTTTAGCTGATCATATATTCCTTTTTTGCCAATACGGATTTCCTTACCTTCTACAGGATTTCATTGACTAAGTTACAATCTCTTTATATTAAGGGATGTTATAAGAGACCACTCTAGGGAGCTCTTTTTAGGGATTTTGTTCAGGACATTATACAATGGTCTTTCAGTGAGTTTTCTCATAGAAGTTTCTATATAATTTTATCCTTGTTCACCTTCCTTTTCTTTGCTCTCCTAAGTTATATCATATTCATATATCTCTACCTGAGTCTACATCCATCTGTATCTCTGTTGTATATATCACCTTTATCATATCTATCCATCCCTTGCCTTAAATTTATTATAAGAAAAAGGAAGGAAGAGTTTATGCTCACTGCTAAATAAGATAGTGGAATGAATTTGGAAGAATAAAGGACAATGAAAGAGTTTTAGATAGATAGAAAAATTGTCTAGCTATAAAGTCAGGTTGTCTTCTCCCTCCCCCTTCTCAATTTTTGCCCTATAATTAGACCTTACACAGGCCCCACAGGACCCCATCTTAACCCAGGCCTCAGGAGTACAGTACAGTAGACGGAGGCTATGCGGAATGCAGGGGGACAAGCACACCTAGGAGAATTTGTGGGTGCAGGAATTGCAGGCTGTAAATTGGGGTGACTAGTTTCCTCTTTGTTTTCCTTTCACCAGCACACCCCAGAGGAAGGTCTGACACGTGCACATCTCAGTTCACTGGTGGATATTTAGTTAGCAATGTGGAATTAAAAAAACACCGGGCAGGAGGGGGGGGGGAAGGAAACAATGACATCCTCAAACAGCTGGAGAAGAGACATTCTATGTTTCTCACCGTCTGGAACTCATCAAACTTTTTCTGCAGTTCCCAAACATCGTCGAGTTCCACCCCGGTGTTTTCTGCTTTTTTCTCTCTAATCCAGTCCAGCATGTCTCTTGCCTCATAAGCCAGCAAGAATTCATTGTAACGTTGCAGTAGATGCCGCCTACGTTCCTCTGCCCGGTCAAGGAGGGAGCGGTACCTGACCAAGAGAATGGGAAGAAGCAAATGCTGGAGAAAACAAAGCACGATGATAGAGTGAGGGAGGGAGAGATTAAAGGCGGAGAGGGGTGGTGAGAGAGCTAAAATAAGGAATAGGAAAGGGGAAGAAGAAAGATGGAAAGGAAGTGGCCTGGAGAGCAGAGTGACTGAGGCAGTTTTCCATTTAAAAATAATAGGAAACTGGCCAATGTTCTAATTAATATTGTGAATGGCAACTTATGCCATTCTATAGCAGTGACATATTTTACAGAATAGAAAAGTGGAATTTTCTATACAACAGGATAGGAAGAATGAAAAGCCTGGCAGAATAAACAAAGCTCATCAGAAAGTCAGACCTGGCCCTCCCTGGTGGCGCAGCGGGTTAAAGCACAGCACTGAGAAGCTAAAGCCACTTCCGCATGGTTCGAATCCCGCCTGCCCCGGAGGAGACCACATGGCGTGGCAGACCTCTCCTGACCCGCCCGCTGCTCCCCTCAGCAGTGTACTTCGTC